CGTGCACATCTGCTCACAGACTCATGTAATACATGTTCAATGTTTTATGTTATGAGTGCTTAGTGTATATTTAGTTGATGTTTTTCTTAGTTCATATCTTAGATGTTATTACTGTTTTTCTTATACATTTTATTGTTGGATGTAACGGGGACCCCGTGTACATAATTTCGCTCCACCACATGTACCACATGAGGTGCGAATGACAATAAAGAAACTCTGACTCTGACTCTGACTCTGACATGAAACACCTACCTTGACACACCTCCATTTAAATGTGCAAATAAATGTAGATATTGTCCTGCATGCGTGATTCTCCTCTCTGCACAATTGAAAAGTATGTTTGCTGCAGGAAAAAGAAACATTTCATGGAATGTTAATAAGTAGTGGGGTGTAAAAACATCTTTGGCACACTTTTCTTTGTCTAAGAGGTAGGTGTGAAGCTGTGATTGTCAGAATTGTGCAACCGCAGAAGTAACAAAATGGTTAAAGTGTCAGACAGAAACTTTAGAGTGAAATGAAGGATGGCTGTCTATCACCTCTCATCCAATAATGTTGAACACCATTTATTCATTCATTCAACCTTTATTTAGACAGGTAAATTGTACATCAATACAATACACCCCATAATTGTCATTTAATCAAATTAACCCAGAGGCACTTATCTGCTGGTGGTGTACTTCTGAGACAGGCATTTCCAACTTTACACACGTCTAATTACACAATTACTGTAAACACTGAGACACTCAGGGGTTTGGTAGAACCTTGAGGCTTTTTTAATGAATAGATGGTTGGAAGAATCCAGTTGCTGGGCATCAACGGATGGTTTTAGCTACAGTGTGGGGAAAATTTAATATTTCTGGGCATCATATGGATGAGGCAGAGCAGCAGAGAGGAGCAGTGAAGAGTTTGCGATGGTCCTTATAAGCAAATGTACTAAACAAGCGCTTAATACAGACAGATCGTTACGGAAGCATTTAACGGCCGTTCAACGTATCAATGACACATGCCCAATGATATGTCACGTATCATTGGGCACTTTTAAATGGGTACTGTTTACGGAAATTTCCAAGCTTTTCTAGTGGGTATATGCCGTATACCAGCATATCATATAAACTACACCACTGGGATGAGGCCATACTTACAGCTGGTGTAGCATGGGCCAAGGACGGTTGTGAAATGCCCAACCTTTCAGCCAGCTCTTTCTGAAAGGCTCTTGTTGCAAAGAACCTCAGCGTCATGGGAATTTTAATTCACATTTATTTTAAGCACCTCACTATCTGTGCGCCCTGCAGGCGTGTGGTCACCAATGCATGTTTACAAGTACCCTAGAGTCATATTTTGGTGTATTTAGGTGAGTTGCAGTATTTTGTAGTTTCATACTGTGGACTGAAAAGTTAGCATGGAACTAAGCACATTGTCACAGCAGGTGAACAATTCAATTCAATTCAGTTTATTTATATAGCACCAAATCACAACAAAGTTGTCTCTGGGCACTTTACAGAAACATTCACATACATATAAAAGCCTATTAGTAAAGTTATACAGGTCCTTATCAAAAAATTAGCATATTGTGATAAAGGTCATTATTTTGCATAATGTAATGATAAAAATGAGACTTTCATATATTTCAGATTCATTGCACACCAACTGAAATATTTCAGGTCTTTAATTGTTTTAATATTGATGATTATGGCATACAGCTCATGAAAACCCAAAATGCCTGTCCCAAAAAATTAGCATATTTCATCCCACCAATGAAAGACAAGTGTTTTTAATACAAAAAACGCCAACTTTCAAATAATCATGTTCAGTTATGCACTCAATACTTTGTCGGGAATCCTTTTGCATGAATGACTGCTTCAATGCGGCATGGCATGGAGGCAATCAATCAGCCTGTGGCACTGCTGAGGTGTTATGGAGGCCCAGGATGCTTTGATAGCGGCCTTAAGCTCATCCAGAGTGTTGGGTCTTGCATCCCTCAACTTTCTCTTCACAATATCCCACAGGTTCTCTATGGGGTTCAGGTCAGGAGAGTTGGCAGGCCAATTGAGCACAGTAATACCATGGTCAGTAAACCATTTACCAGTGGTTTTGGCACTGTGAGCAGGTGCCAGGTCGTGCTGAAAAATGAAATCTTCATCTCCATAAAGCTTTTCAGCAGATGGAAGCATGAAGTGCTCCAAAATCTCCTGATAGCTAGCTGCATTGACCCTGCCCTTGATAAAACACAGTGGACCAACACCAGCAGATGACATGGCACCCCAGACCATCACTGACTGTGGGTGCTTCACACTGGACTTCTGGCATTTTGGCATTTCCTTCTCCCCAGTCTTCCTCCAGACTCTGGCACCTTGATTTCCGAATGACATGCAAAATTTGCTTTCATCCGAAAAAAGTACTTTGGACCACTGAGCAACAGTCCAGTGCTGCTTCTCTGTAGCCCAGGTCAGGCGCTTCTGCCGCTGTTTGCAGTCTCCCATCCTGAGCAAGCACAGTGGCAACAGTGGAAAGGAAAAACTCCCTTTTAAAAGGAAGAAACCTCCAGCAGACCCAGGCTCAGGACAAGCGACCATCTGCTTTGACCGGCTGGTTTGAGAGGACATGAAGGAGAGACAAACGAACACAGAATGGTAAGTCCAGATATAGGTCCAAGTTTACCTGAAAGACAAAAAAAAACCACATGTTGGGGATAGAAAAAAATAATTACAAATACAAAACGGGTTGAGCAGAGTAAGTAAAGACAGTTGTAGAGTGAAAAAGTGTGGCCAGTTTGTCCTCCAGCAGTCTAAGCCTATATCAGCATAACTAAGGGACAGCTCAGGAGACCCAAGCCGACCCTAAAAAGTGTGCATTTTTAAGCACACTTTCACACAATGTTCATTTTGATACAACCCCACATGTGCATGGAACCTGGCACACACAGCCTTTTTGTGAGTACACACCGCTGATACATGAGGCCTCAAATACTGTGGCTACAAATAAAACCCAGATCACCGCATCTTCACCAGACATGTTTTGTCATACTAGACCAAATGTACCCACCTTTGTGGGTTTGTTGTTACTTGGACCAAGTAAGAATCGGTACACAGAGTATGCCATGTTGTGATTTTGGAACCAGAGTCTGCTCACTAGTAAGGTCTTGCTCTTCTTTCAACTTTAATGCGGCCTGAACAGCAATGTGTACCCCCACAAATGTTATATCAAAATGATATATATCCAAAATACTGTACCACAATTTTATTTGACACTTCTTGTAAACAACTGTGCTCTTGTGAAGCTCTGTCTTCGCCCGGAACATTGCAGGATCTGAAAGGATTTTTAAAGACGAAGCAGCGGGTTGAATCGCACTGTCCCCCTCCTCCATGCTAGCAGGCTCCATTCAGATAAAAGGAGTTAGCTAACTAGCTTGCTGTACGGTGGCCTACACAGCTCAATTCTATGGTGGCCGAACGGGGAGTAGGAGCTGAAAAAATATAAAACTTAAATGCATTTTAAAATCGATTTTGGACCTTTAGAAACGATTCAGAATCGCCAGGACTAAGAATCTAGATTCATGGAAAAAACAATTTTTTTCGCACCCCTAATAAGTTAATCAATGGATCTGGTCAGAAGCTGCTGGCTGATACTTTCCCTGTGGAACCCCATGGAAGCATCAATAGCTTTTCACACACAGCTTTTCTACTTTGGTGGATAGTAAATCACAAACAGCTCGGAGGAATTAACTTTAACTTTTTTCTGCTCTCGCTCAAGAGGGACGCCTTCTCCTCTCCCTCCCCTGTTCTCCTCTTCCTCCTGCTTTTGCTCTCTGTGTGTGTTTCGGAGCTCCTGGTACACAGCTTCAGAACGAAAAAAAAATACTATTATGGATCTGATGAGCTGGACTTTCAATGCAATCAACAAAATCTTTTTAACAAAACGACAGAGTCCTAGAGAGCCCTCATGTCCTGCTGAGACTCACGCTTCTGGGTACATCAGGGATCTGTGGGGAGTTTGGCAGCTTATGTGTCTTTCAGTTCTGTCTCAGGAGAACACCAAAGACGTTTTATAATTTGATTCATGATAGCAGGGTTTCTAGTTTTTGGTATTGGCAGGTTCCTATGTTATCAACTTTTGAAGAAGATATTGGCAGCAGTTTTGGCCATGACAAAGCTTCTGTGTCTGTGTGAATGTTTGGTTCATGCTATGATTACTCAAACTCAGCTGATTTACGAGCTAAACCGTAAGATGGAAGTGATTTGTGAGAATCGCAGGCCACCTGCGGCTTCTAGGACTCACCAGCATGCTGGAGTCGACCTTGAAGAAGACTCATAGTGGAGTGGAATGCCCATAAATCTGGCCATTTTGGATCTGGAAAGTACCAGCAGGACTCAAGGCTGACAAGAAAAAAAAAAAAAACAGTTTGCCTGAAGAACATCAGCAATTGTGGTTTATATGAATCTGACTCCCCCGTTTGGCTGTGGATACGAGCCGACTATCAAATTTCTCCTGGGACATGGGTAACTAGGGAAAAAGCTTTGTCTATCACAACCCCCCGCCCCCGAGAACTTCTGTGCAGGCTTATCAGAACTGCCGGCTGACCAACATCTTATCAGGACTATGACTTATCTAATAGTGCTTCATGGACACATCTCACCATCTTGTCGTCAAATGCATATGTGATCATGTCTATAAACATGCTTGCTGTTTTTTAATGTCTCAAATCGTGTCCTAATAGTACAAGATGTGAAGAGATCTTTTTTGTAATACCACTATCCATCCTCATGGCCTTTTACTTTTTTCTGTCTAAAAGTATTCTGCTAAAGATAAGAGGCCGCGCTCTTGTAGCAGCAGCAACGTGCACTCCGACCATCTTGTGGACAGTTGTACGAACATAATCTCACTGTATCCCAGTACAATGATAATAAAGCTTATTCTGATTCTGATTAAACATTTTAGTTCTTGTGAATATTCTGCCTTAAAAAAAAAAAGAAATAATAATAATTTTGTCTTTATTCCCTCAGGAATCGTCCGTGAGATGTCCCACAAACCAGACAGCAAGTTGCAGTCCATCTCAACCACCAGACTCTCCCCGCAGCACCATCTCTGGTACGTCTTGCCGCAGTCTGTCGAGATGCAACAAAGAAAAAAGAAACAGGAAAAAAAACAGCAGACCTCTCTGATTTTATTTGTGTAGATGCTGAAAGCTGCGGTCTGAACAGCACTGCACACATTAGTCGGCGGTCAGGCAGGGTGTAGGGTAAAGGGAATTACGGGCTGCAGAAGTTCTAACGCTGCACATTTCTCGCACATCTTTAGCTGATTACAATCATCTTTTTTTAGATTTCGTTTTGTAAAGCGACCTCGCTAAATTAGCTGCTAAACCACATCTTAATTGGCAACATGTGCAGATGTGAGGCACGCTTGTCCTCATTTGTGTAGTTTGTTATAAGCACCAATCGTTTTTAACACCTTTAAATTGTGTGTTTTTCTCTCTGACACATAGAATAGTAGTGTTGTGTCACTTCTGATTTTTTTGTACTGTTAGCCAAAGATCTCATGAACCCATTGACAGACTTTAATAAAACTCTCAGTAAAGAGTCACTGGATGTTTACCTATAACTTACTAACTTTTAGAGTCTCTCAAATTCAAGATGGCCTCTCAGCGTATCAACAGTAGCCAACATAAAAATTGCTGACTAAGTTTCAAAGATATTGAGCTAAAATTTAATGTAGTAATAGTTGAAAGTCATGCCCAACATGTACTCCAAGCTTTACACATTGAACATTATCTGTGCTTCAAACTTTGGCATTAACTGTTAGTGTCCAAACTGTTTGTCTGTTAGCAAAATATCTCACAAATCACAGGACAGATTTTTTTTTTAACTTTCAGAAAGTAATCACAGTCTGAGCCTCAAGAAGGCAATAACATTTAGTCGACACAATTTAAGATTTTAAGATGGCCGTCACAAGTAGTTGACATTAGCCAACACAAAAATAGCTATAGCATATTCAGAATTGCAAATAATGTGGTAGTAGCTGAGAGTCACCCTCAGCTCAGACTCTGAGCACATCTTGTGAGTTGTGGCCAGACTGAGATGGTTTGGGCATGTCCAGAGGAGGGACAGTGGGTATATTGGTAGAAGGATGTTAGAAATGCAGCTGCCAGGAAAAAGATAAAGAGGAGATAGGTGGATGCAGTTAGAGAGGACATGGCGGTAGATGGAGTGATGACAGAGAGAGATAGAGGAGGATGACTTGCTGTGGAGACCCCTGAAGAGGGAAAAGTCAGAAGAACAAGAAGAAGAACGAGAACAAGAAGAACAACAACAACAAGAAAAACAAGAACAAGAAGAGCAACAACAAGAAGAAGAACAACAAGATCAAGAACAACAGGAACAAGAAGAACAACAACAAGAAAAAGAAGAACAACAAGAACAAGAATAAAAACAAGAACAAGCAGAAGAAGGTGTGAGTTGTGGCAGCCATCTTGAATGAAAACTTTAACATGAAAGACAGCAGGCAATTGGGGCCTTTAATATTTAGTTTTCTCATACATATTTTTAAGCACAAACAAGATCTAATAAGCGGTTTACGTTTGTACAAAACAACTTATTTTCATTTTGGACAACCAGATCTCGCCTGATGCTACGGTGATGCAAAGGGATCTTTTAAAAAAAATAATAAAACGTCATTGACAACACGCTCAGAAAAAAAGATAAACATTTTGTTGTTTAAGTTCAGGTATGTTTATGCCTTGATTCAGCCGTCAACTATCATTTATTAAATTGAAAATTTTAATCTCATCTTCTCGTAACTTAATAATTGATCAAATATATAAGATAAATAGTAATAAGACTTCTTTAAGGCTACATTAAGGCTCCTCGGACTGATGAAGTCCTTTGGATGAAGGATGAAATGTCTCAAAACAACAAAAAGAAACTGTCTGGATGACCTGACTGAACTTTGGTAGATTTTTTAACCTGGATTATTGAGCATGAACTTTGATGTTTTGAACCACTTTGGCTATGGCTGCCTCAGACGAGTTGACAGGGGAGAGGGCAGACTCCAGAAACCATCTTAACACCAGCAAACTGGTTTGTTCACTATGTGAGTGTTGCTGCTTGTGGAACTGAGTTTGTTGTGGCTCCTCGGACTGATGAAGTCCTTTGGATGAAGGATGAAACGTCTCAATAAAAAAAAGAAACCATCCAGAGGACCTGACTGAACTTTGTTGGATTTTTTTACCGGGATTATTGAGCATGAACTCTGGTATTAAGACTACATGAGCAGTAATCCTGTAAATATAATCCCTTTGAATGAAATAATCTTTTTAGGGGAGATATCTGTCAGTTTGGCAAATAAAAAATTTGGTTTGGGGGGGTGCCTGGGTAACAAGTAGGTGTAGAAAATACTTCAGCTCTTGAAAGAGTTTGCCACTCAGTCCACAAGATGGTCGACTGAGAACATCTGTATATAGTAAGCATTGTATATAGTGCAATATACTCATTAAAGTATTTTCTGTTTTAGATTTTCTTAATTGTAAAGGTTGCAGACAACCAAAGATTTTGTCGGACGAGATTCTGTCAAGAGGTTGAAAACTTCTCCTCTGATAAAACTTCTCGTGCAGAAAACACGTGTTTATGCGGACAGCCTGCATGTGTTTTTGAAGCGCTCATTGAAAGGCGTGTTTAAATAAACACAAACGTCCTTTTAGATGAGACGGAGGAAACAAAAGGAGTTTGACAGACGAATCGCAGGTTTTCTCCTGCGGTGGTGCAGTATCAAACGTTTCGTATCTAGCCTCAGCTCGACAATCAAAACGCTGAGCGCTAATCCAAAGTGTCGTCCGTGTGTTGTGAAGCAGCCAGGCGCAGACTGAAAACACACATGTTTGCGCAAGACACTACTTTGTCAATTATTTCTTTTTGGTTCCTGTGAAGTTCATGTGATGTTTTAAGTGCTTCCATCCGATGGAGCTGCACCTGACAGCTGCGAGTTTTTTGAATATTTATGATGCTCTAACACGTTGCTGCTTTTCATCTCTCAGGCCCCTCGTGTGTGAAGACATCCAGGCAGATGTGGAGGACGGACAGCTGCAGTTCTTCTACCTCCTGGCTTTTGTCCTGCAAGGTGACTGCTCCTCTGAAGCTGAGATGATAATCAAACAGAACGCTGCTCTGATGCTATAAAGGAAAAAAAGAAAATCTTTCATCAGCGTGCCCGTTTTTTATTTAGCCTCATTTGCGAGGTTTGTTTCGGAAACGATAAGATGTCAGGATGTCGAGCGCGGAGGCATGCGAGGTTTAACTCAGGACAAACACAGTTAAACGTTTTGTTTCTGTGAATCACGACACGACATCTGAGGAATAAAGTTAAACACCAAATGTTCCCTTTTCAGGGTCTGTGTTTGTTGTTTGGTTTATTCTTTGAAGGCATGCATGTTGCCCCGCTCCTTTCATGCCAAATGTTTCTACAACGATCTAGTCTGACCCTTTGGCGCTTCATTTAGGGACGAATCTCAGCAACCGTCCAGCCTTGTTTTAGCTGAGCGTCTATACAACTACTGTAATTTCTGGACTATTGAGTGCACCTGAATATAAGCCACGCCCACTAAATTAAAATAAATAAATACATTTTTACATAAATAGGCCGCACTTGTCTATAAGCTGCGAGTGTTCATGTTGTAACATGAGATATTTACACAGAAAGATTTTTTTTAACTTTCAGTTAAATACGTACTGGAAACACACACAAATACAGTAAGTGGGTTTTTTTCTGAACAGTGCCTGTAACACAGCTGATTAAAAAAATACAGTAGTCTACCAGGAAGTCGTTGATCGCTACCCCCCCAAGAGAGATGTGTATTGGTCAACTATGTGAGTGCCTGGATGTGACAAAGCTAAATGTTTTGGTGGCATCATTAGCCCATTAAAAAAAACATAAATTAACTGCAGCATTGTATAAGCCGCGGTGTTCAAAGCGTGTGAAAACAGTAGTGGCTTATCGTCCGGAAATTACAGTACCTTTGTCACAAGCGCTAAAACCGTACGCTGGGGGTCAAGGACTCGTGTACACTTTTCAAAATGAAAAAGATTTTTGACCATTTTTTTTATACGTCCTGTAAGGCCGGCATGTTGCTACACTCCTACGTGGAAAATATTGACACGCTATCTGATGTATGGTAAAAGGGCTGTGCTTATCTAGCACCATTTTATCTAATCAAGGCAGTCAAAGTGCTTTACATCACAATCTGTGCCCTCATTTACCTCCAACACACACATTAATACAGCACTCTACTAGATCTCAACAAAGATAATCTGAATCTGTAGAGACTAATCAGAGCTTTTCCATATTCATACACCGATGGGACACACATCAGAGGTAATGAGGGGTTCAGTGTCTTGCCCAGGGACACTTAAACAAGTGACTGCTGGTGAGATCGAACACCCAACTCTCCCATTGGATGGTGACCACTCTAACCACTCAGCCACAGCTGCCTCCTTCGGTGAGCTCAGGTGCCAGCAGTGTTCCCAACTGAGCGAGCTCTACGTCTCAAAGTGCTCAGAGCAGAGCTCCCTGCTGCACTCAGACACACTGCATATAAACCACACATACACACCGCCATCAGTGATCCCACTGCTGCTGACAGACCCCCCCCCCCCCCCCCCCCCCCCCCGCCCCCCCCCCAAAACCCCCCCCCCCCCCCCCCCCCCCCCGCACCGTGCCCCCACAACCTCTCTGGGACTTTTCTATCTAAAATCTAACTATTAAATGTTCATGTGTTCGTAGCATCGTCGTCATCATACAGACATAACCAACACGTGACCAAACTTCTGGACCTTGAGAGAGAGCGCCATCACGGCGGTGGTGCTGAAATCCTTATTTTCTTTTATAAAACTGATTGATTTTTTTTTTAGTTACTTGGACCTTTTCACAGGGGCCAAGGTTAAGTAGAGGCAGGGCAGCCAACCTACAACCAGAAAGCTGTGGTTCGACTCCCAGCCATTCCCACATGTCGTGGTGTCTCTGAGCAAGACATCATTATCCCCAATTGTTCCCTGGGCGCTTACATAGCTGCCCACTGCTCCACCTGGGTACATCTCGGGTGTGATGATTAAATGCAGAGAACCAATTCGCCATTGTATGGGAGCATACAATGATGACAGTCTCAGACTTCCCCTCCCTTCCCCTACACAGGAAAAGAATTGCAAATGAACGCTATAAAATGTCCAGTGTTTATTCTATAATAGAGTTTAGGATCATTTAACTCGCATTTAAAGGACAAAATTACTTTACTGAAAATTCTTAAACGTACATTGTTAAAACTAAAAGAAACAGAATACTAATTAAAAGCTAAAAGAAAAAAAAAGATAAAATATTAATCAAAAGTAGAAAAAAACAAGCTAGCCGATAAAACTAGCAAAAAGTTATCTCTGTACTAAATGTAGCAATAGGCTAACTACAAGAGGTGCATTAAGTGCATAACAGACTATAAAAGCAGGGGTGCACAATGTCCATCACTGCCTGATGCTCTCAACAGGTTCTATGCATGCTTTGAAGACCCAAACAGACCACCCAGCACCAGACTCACCACTCCACCAGAATAAAGTTCCTCAATGTGACCTCAGCTGAAGTAAAAGAGTTCGGGAGGATTAACCCTCACAAAGAAACTAGCACAGACAACATCCCCAGGAAGGTGCTGAAAGACTGTGCCGATCAGCTCTGAGAGGTGCTGGCCGACATCTTTAACTCCTCAAATACTCTGGCAACAGTTCCCACCTGCCTGAAGACTGCCACCATCATCCCAGTTCCAAAGAGCTCTACAGTGACTGGTCTGAATGACTACTGGCCAGTGGCCCTCACCCCAATAGTCGCTAAATGCTTTGAAAGACTGGTCATGACCCACATCAAAACAACCATCAACATCAGTGAGGACCATCATACCGCAAGAATCGATCAACAGAAGACGCCATCTCCCATGTGGTCCACACTGCTCTCACCCACCTGGAGCAGAAGGACTCCTGCGTCCGTATGCTCTTTGTGGACTTCACATCTGCCTTCAATACCATGGTCCCCCAAACCCTGTTGGACAAAATACTCACGCTAGGACTAAGCTTCTCCATTTGTAACTGGGTCCTAGACTTCTTAACAAACAGACCACAGTTAGTGAGGATCCACAACTTTTCCTCCTCCACTATAACCCTCAGCACTGGCTCCCCTCAGGGATGTGTGCTGAGCCCTCTCCTGTTCACTCTGCTCACGTATGACCATGCACCTACCCATCCAGGCTGTCATATTATAAAGTTTGCAGATGATACAGCTGTGGTGGGATGCATCACAAACAACGATGAGTCCAGCTACAGGCAGGAGGTGGAACACCTGGAGAGCTGGTGCAGGAAGAACAACATTCACATCAATGTAAAATGCTACAAACTTAAATGGTATAAACCAAAATGTTAGCTAAAGTTAAAAGACCAGAGGAGTAACTAAATTGTGTGAAAATAAACTAGGTAAGAGCTAATTTAGCAAAAGGTCAAAAGGTTGGGTAAAAGCTACAATAGCAACTGCTAGCTATAGGCTAATATAACAAATAAAGCTAAAAGACTCAAAGACGTAGCTAAACAAATGCAAAGATGCTAAAAGTAGCTAAGGTTTAGACAAAAGCAAAAAGAGCTAGCTAAAACATAAAAATGGCATAAGGGAGAAACTGTAAGTTTACTGAAGCAGATTTCGGAGAAAAATATTTTTATGGAGATTAAAGAAATTATGAATTTCCATGAGGAAAATACTTGGAAATAAAGTTCAGTACTTTGAAAAGTATAAAAGTAAATAAAATAAAAAAGTAGTTCCACAAAAAATAAACTGTCCAGATGACCTGACTGACCATTATTGGATTTTGTACCTGGATGATTGCGCATGAACTTTGATGTCTTGAACCACTTTGGCTGTGGCTGCCTGCCTGGGATGAGTCGACAGGGGACAGGACAGCCCCCAGTCACCAGCAAACTGGTTGGTCCACTAAAGGAGTGTACAGCTGAGTGGAGAAAACAGTTTACTTGGGACTCCTCAGACTGATGAAGCCCTCCGGATAGAGGGCAAAAAGTCTTTCCACAAAAAAAAACAAAAAAAAACTGTCCAGATGACCTGATTGACCTTTATTGGATTTTGTTCCTGGATGACTGAGCATGAACTTTGATAAAAAAAAAGTCATGGCACCTGTCTTGTAAATAAGAACTTTTTGAAACATGAACGGCTAAAATAGCAAAGTGTGCAGAAGTAAGTTGCAAAAAAACATACAAAATTAGAGTTTAGCTGAATTAGTACTCATTCTGGCAATCCTTGAAAGTACTGAAGCAACACAACAAAGTGCTACAAAAGATTTCAAACTGCTGGGAGCAGAATGTAGAAAACAGGAGGTGATTTGTGGCCAGCCACTGACGTGAGGCGCCTGTCAACACGCTACGTAACCTTTGCCAACAAATGAGGCAGAAATACACAGTTTAGACTGAGCCGCTTTGACAGATGACTGTTTCTGCATGCATCGGAGCTGCGCGTTCGCCTGCGCGGCAGAGGAAATATTTTAATTTACAGCCAAGGTAGCTGGAGGCTGAGCAAAGCTAAGTGCGGCTCATGTTTTTACACGTCAGAAACTCTTTTCGAAACTTTCCTCAGAGGTTAAAAGGTCAAAACTAAATATTTTGTGCTGCAACTATGCGAGTAAGTCAAGGGTTTGTTGGGTTTAGCAGTGAGGTCTCAACCTGGTGTTGGAATCTTGCATACTTTAAAGTATGAAACAAATTACGTACTTCATGTCAACACAACCTGGTGTTTCGACTTGGGCGATGGAAAAGATGAATCAGACCGAAGACAAAAATATCCCAACTTGTTCACTTTTTTCCTAAATTATTCAGCGAAGGTGATTGATATTGAGCAATGCTTATTATCAGTAATTTTCACAAGAAGAAAGACACAAATTCTAACTTTGTTATTATGATGCCATTATGTTCAACTTCTTTCTATAGTCAAGCACCAAGAAAAGCTACTTTTTATACTTACTGGATGGGTTTGAAGCAAAATTCTAGGTAATACTAGAAAGTTCATGGAGAAACTCGGGGACTGCTGCATCGTGGCCATTTTAAAATTTTGATTTGGCAGTACTATGTGTTGGAGTTCACTCTCAGCTACCACAATTCTGTGGCAAAAAAGCAATGATTTATAGTATTTTTTTCCTTGTAAGCTATGGTGGCCATCTTGGATTTTTGATTTGGATTCAGAATGTGATGGCAAAAGTTCTCAGCTACCACCATACCAAATTTCAGCTTTATGTTTAAAAATAGCTGAGTTAAAGACATTTAAATTTAGCTTTGGTGACCATCTTGAAATTTTTAATTAATTATTTATTGGTTATTGCTCTCAGCTACCACCACATCAAATTTCAGCTTAATATCGCTACAAATGACTGATTTAAGAGTATTTTTCCTTTTTAGCTCAGGTGGCCATCTTGGATATTTGATTTGCAACCAGAGTCCATGAGAAATGACCAATAAAAATTGTGTTTTTGCAAATTACGTCACCATGATAACTGGAAACACCAATAAAAGTATTAGGCCTGTCACGATAACAAATATTACCAGGTGATTAATTGTCTCAGAAATTATTGTGATAAAAGATAATATTGTTTGAAATTTAACAATAATTAGTAATTATTGTCAAATTTAAGTAAGTAAGTAAATTTTATTTATATAGCACCTTTTACAGGTCAAAAACCACAAAGTGCTTTACAGAATACGACATAAAAACACAAGATAAAAGATACAAACAAAAGATCAAACAACATGCGTATGACATAAGACTATATAAAACTAATTAAAAACCAATCTGAACAAATGTGTCTTCAGCTGCTTTTTAAAAGTATTAAGAGAATCAAGGCAGTGCAAAGTCAGAGGCAATGCATTCCACAGTCTGGGGGCCACAGCCCTAAAAGCGTTATCCCCTCTGTTCTTAAAATGAGTTTGTGGGATCATTAACAGCCTTTGACTGGAAGATCTGATGCTCCGAGAAGAGAAGTAGGGCTCTTAAAGGTCAGAAATATAGACTGGGGCTTGACCAGTCAGAGCTCTAAAAGTAAGAACTAAAATTTTGTAATGAATTCTAAAACGTACCGGTAGCCAATGTAAAGAGATTAAAACTGGCGTTATGTGCTCTCTTCTTCGTGCGTTGGTTAAAAGTCTTGCAGCAGCATTCTGAACTGTCTGCAAATGATCAAGATCCTTCTTGGTAAAACAAATGAAAAGACTGTTAAAATAATCCAGACGGGATGTAATAAAAGCATGGATAATCATCTACAATTCTGCTTTTGACATAAGAGACTAAAGCCTAGAAATATTTCTTATTTGAAAAAAGCAATTTCTGATTAATCCACAAGAATTGCATTGAAAGAAATGTTTGTTAAATTGTTTTGTGTGTTGTACCTTTTTTTGACCACCGGATGGCAGTATAACACTGTTTAACCGAAGGATGGATAGTGAGGGAGCGAGCAGTGTGTCTCTTAAAAAAAATGGGAGGGAGGCCCCTTGACGTGACATGGGCTGTCTCTCTTTCCTTTTCTTCGGTTCTCAAAATGGCGAACGCTCAGTGTGGTTTGAGCTCTTTAGCATAGCATTTTTCACACAAAGCTTTTAATAAAAAAATCAGTAAACAAGTTCTCAGCTTCTTTGTGCAGAGAAAAACAACTTTTTACATGAAGACATGGGTTTCAACCGTGGACTTTGGAGCTTCGATAAGACTGAGTTTTTTTCCTGAGATCGACCTGTTAGCTTAGCTTCTCAGCTTAGCTGCTTTTAATGATCAAAAAACGTGATTTTGGATCGTTAAAACATATTTTAAAGTAAAGAGAAAAAAGAGAAAGGGAGGGGTCAGTGAAGAGCACCGGAGTTGAGCCTTTTGTCATCCAGACTTCAGTAGAAAGAGAGACACGATAAAGCCGCTAAATGAAAATGAGGTTGATAATTTTCATTTATCATGCAATTAATTAATTTATTGTTTATTGCGACAGGCCTCAGTAACAGCACACATCACGGTACTGAGCCGGTCATTTTGATATAAGATTTGTGGGGGTACACGTTGTGGTTCAAGCCGCATTAAAGTTAACAGAAGAGTAAGAGATAAAGTTAAGAAATCCTTGTCAGGTGGATAATAATAGGTGGCTGTCTTACTAAGCAGTCTCCATTAAAAGAGATTCCAATCCACTAAACTCAGTGAAAGATCTTGTATAGAAAGAATAAAACATTTCAAAGTTTATCACACACATAATCGCATTGTTTCATGTAAAACGACACTGGAAGTGACCTCATCCTGCTTGTCTTAACATTTTCTTTTTTCATTTAGCCTTTATTTATCCTGGTAGTCTCATTGAGCCACGAGAACTCATTTTCAAGAGGGACCTGTTTAGGGAGCAGATGGTGGGGGTTAAGGGCCTTGCTCAGGGGCCCAGAGTGGGGCGAATGAGGGTGGAGGGAGGTGTGAGTGTTTCACCTTTTCCACCCACATTTTGATGTTGACGGTACCGGGAGGTGAACCTGCGACTTTCCGATCACAAGCCCATCTTCTAACCTCTGCGCCACCACTCCCCATGGTGGAGCAATGGTTGAGCTCCCCTCAACATGGCTGCCCTCTTTGAATGAAGTGCAGCAGATTGCTCCTTGTCTTCTGTTTCTTCTCCTAAAGTTTATTTACTTCATGCTAACTGTGTGTTTCAAGTGCACATAACATGGAATAAAAAGTAAAAATTAAGGCTATTTCGTTTCATTTTTGTAAAACTAAGTGAAAGGTATAAATAACTAGAAAGTTCCTGGAGAAACTTTTGCGGGGACTGCCACATTGCAGCCATTTAAAAGTTTTGATTTGACAGTATTATGTGTTGGGGTTTGCTCTCAGCTACCACCACACCATGTCAGCTCGATACGGCAAAAATATTAATGAGTTGTAGTCGTTTTTGAATGGCTGAGTTATAGTCGATTTGGAGTTTTCTGAGGTAGCTGTGGCAGCCATCTTGATCCAAAATGGCTCCAAAAAGTTAATCATTGTTTTGTTCAGAGACCTCTCCACTCTAGGTCATGTGACCTCACTGTGGCAGTTAGAAGCTGTTAAGAGTTATGTCAGTGTTTTTCAATACAATACAATACAATACAACTTTATTTATAGAGCACTTTAAAACAACACTGTTGGCCAAAGTGCTGTACACTAGGACATACAAAAACATAAAAACCCCACACGTTAAAAATGTGAAATAAAATAAAGATAACAAATAAAATAAAACAAATAACTTAGAGTCATTAAAACCAACATTTCAAACTGAAGTAAAAGCCAAAGAGAAAAGATGTGTCTTCAGAGAAGACTTAAAAACAGGAAGTGAGCCAGCTTGTCTGACATGCAGAGGCAGCTCGTTCCACAGTTTAGGGGCAGCGACTGAGAACGCTCGGTCACCTCTCAGTCTCCTGTTGGACCTTGGGACGACCAGCAGCAGCTGATCTGCTGACCTGAGAGAGCGAGAAGGAGTGTACAGCTGGAGCAGGTCGGACAGATACTGTGGGGCGAGACCATGAAGACATTTGAAAACAAATAAAAGAACCTTAAAATTAATCCTGAAGCGAACCGGTTCGCTTCAGTGTTTTTCAATGAGAAAAAATGCGTGTTTGTTTGCAAATTACGTCACCATGGTAACTCGAAACGCCAATAAAAGTAATTGCACGTATCACGATCCCGAGCCGGTCGTTTTGATATGATATTTGTGAGGATACACGTTGTGGTTCAAGCCACATTAAAGTTAACAGAAGATTAAGATATAAAGTTATGAAACCCTTGTCAGGTGGATAATAATAGGTGCTGCCTTCAGGCAGTCCCCAACAAGAAGTGGGGGTAGTGTTGTCATTAGGCTAAAACAGGCTAAACAAACACTGGCTGTCCCCAAAACTTAGTCGCGTTAACACATTTTTATGTTAAAACTATAAAAGTTTTACCATGAATTTGGAAGTTTATCAAGTACTTTAAAAAGAAATTTTAACATTTAGTGTTTTGAATGTGCAGATAAGGAATAAATATTTTATTGAATTGCTAAATTTGAACACGTAAAACAGTAATTTTGACTTTAATGTCTTATTGTTCAGAAGCTTGAACAAATATTTAAACTGGCGTATTTGCTACACGTCAAATTTTAAATAAAGACATCACATGATCAATTGTAGCTCTGAGGATGACTCTCAGCTACCACCACCCTGGGTTATATCTGTAACAATGACTGACCTAAACCCATTTTTGTTGGTTAAGGTCGATTACCTGTGGCGGCCATCTTAAATTGAGATGACTGTAAATTTGCATCCAACGACCTGTTTTGTTAAAATCCATGTTTTTTCTTTTAGAGGACGGTTGGATGCCTTTGACGGTCCTGGCAACTCGAGAAACCCTCTACCTGCTCGAAGAAGATCACCAGTGGAGGAAAAACGGCTCAACCGCAAATGGAAACGATAAACCGTGCAGTGGGAGCTTCGCCATCTTAGAAACCCTGCCCATCAGCTGCGTGAGCTCGGTCCTGCTGTGGCCCGCGGACCAGTTCAGGATGGACCTGAAGCTTTATGATGAGGTCAGCACTTCTAGCTGAAATGTTGTTAAATTATGTTCGTTGTAGTTGCTGCTGCTTTTAGCTGTTTCTGCTCAGGACGACACACTTAGAATTCTTTCTTTCCCTTCAGCTGTAATTGTGTCGTTCTGCAAAACAAAAGGATGAGAAAATGTTGCTGAAATTTGTTGAAGAAACTTAAACGGCATTATTAAACATTAAAGGAGCAGAAAAAATACAAGTAGCAAAAGACTAGCTGAAAAGTAAAAACCAGCAAAACACTAGCTAAAGACTTGCTTAAGACTTGCAAAAATTTAGCTAAAAGGAAAAATCAGCAAAACACTAGCTAAAGGTTAAGATTAGGAACACACTAT